GAGCGGGGGAGAAAACAGGAGCCCACCCTGTAAACGCGAAGGCTGGACTCAAACCGCTGAAGCATCGACCATTTCTGGCCAGCAACTTTCAGCGTCATTAAGCCGCTGCGCCACCGTGTCCCCTCATGTGATAATACAGAAGGTTAATAAGATTTGGCTATCTCATGAGATGTCAACATATTCCTTTCTTTCTTTCAAAAATGGAGGTCAGGTGGCCTCCTCTAGCGGTATCACAGACCTGTATTGCCAATCTCCACTTAATAGCAAGTCAGAAGTCTCTTGCCAGGGTTTTCTTCCCAGTCCTACTTGGGTATGCTAAGGTTATGGCCCTTCCCCAATTAATACTTGCACAACTACAGGGCTCTGTCCTGGTTTAGACAGGCAGAAAGCTTTAGGCCCAAACCTGTTGGGGCTGTGTTCCAATGGTCAATGTTTATGTGTAAAGAATTGGTATAAATCTTCCAGGTTTTCATTGGTCCTACAGTCTTGAACAATGGGGCAACATGCAATTCTTTATGACAAATTGTGTTCAAAAGGATTCTGGCCCTTTCAGGTTTTGCACGGATATTATTTAGATTTATTTTTATAATGAATACTCTAATTAATGAATTTAACAAAAAAATGACTGCACTCCATTAATTGTTCCTCAACACGGAAGGGTTCTAAAATATCTCACTACTTGACAAATTCTAGAAACAGCATTGTTGTTGTTGCCTCCCTTTTTAAAAAAATTATTATTATAGCCCAACTGACCACAGTACATGCACAACTGGGCTAAGGGGAATAGGGCACTGGTATAAAGGGCTTTCAGAGTCAGCTCCAGACCTGTCTGATCTCAAGATGTTAGCTGGTGAGCTGATTTATCCCTGGCTCTGTATCAGTTTATTGGGAATCAGAGCAAAGCTGTTCCTTTCCTTTGAACTGCTGAGTTTCTGGGAAATCTGTTTCTCCACATCAGGAGTTCTTGCCCTCTAGGTCCTGGATTCAAGACAACCATTACTGTCTCTTTCTTACCCCATTAGAGCTTCAGTGACTGGTTCCTGATGTCTGTCTATAGGCATTTGTCAAATCACAGAGTTGTAAAGTCAGAAAGGACTATGAGAACCATCTAGTGCAACTCTCTCCAGTGTACAAGAAAACCAATTAAACCATCCTCGAGAGGCGGCTGTCCAATCTTTTTTAAAATCCCCAGAAATAGATAAAAATCTAATCATCATCATCATCATAATCAACACCACAATCTCCATGGGTAAATTGCTCCATTCCTATATAAACATTATCATCTTTCTTGTCTTTAAACAACATCTAGGTAGCTGCAAGTTATACCCATTATTTTTGATCCTAATTTCTGTCTGCAGTGCAGAACAACTGACCATCTTCCCTGTGGCACCCTTTTATGAACCAGAATATGGAGTACTGTCAAATGTATTCCTCCCCACTTCTGCCACTGCAGAAACTTTTTCCCATGCCAAATTGACTTTACGGGGAAACCCAACTTTAAAAATTGGGAAAAAAATGGTGATATGGAAAAATTGGATGGAAGCGGGGATATTGACTTTGGACCAACTGATAGATG